AGGTGCTGGAATTATTTTTATTTGTATTTCACAAAATGGAATTATAGTAATAACTATTTTATTATTTTTGTCATATTTGTTTACCCTCTTCGTATTCTATGACCAACACTATGTGGTGTGTAACCATCTGTTCATAAAATGATCGCTATTGTATCTTACATGTTATCTAGAAATTTCGTCACCAATCAATACCACTATATTTTTGTTATTTTTGTAGTTGTTCTTCCCCACATTGGCAGTGCAACTGAAGACTCAAGAGATCTAATGGCAGTATTAGCAGCGGAGAACCTGCTGGCTGGACTCGAGGACTTGCCAATGCCCCATGAAGTAAATATAGGGGTGGAATGATGAGAAGGATTATGGTATAAATCACGTAGCAAGGAAAACTTTCCTTTGGGACGCTTTTGACGGTGAATTCGGCAGTACACCTAAAGGGTAGCGAAATGAACATGCCTTTCGAATGTACAGGCATCTAAACATTGTGTCAATTACTGTTCGCATACATTTAATTATAATAGTGTTTAGTGACTAACTATTATATAGGATGAATCAAACAAATCAGCGTATTTATTACTTTTTTTAAATTATTTCATCTATAATTTGCATCACCTTAGGCCTAAGCCTTCTCTATGACAATCAATGTTGGTAATAGGCATAGCTGTAGCAAATTAAATGTTTCAAAATACAATACAATATAATGATATAATCAAATTCAGTCATTATGTTGGCCTGGCTTTTGGGCTTACATCGACGATTTTTTTTTCAAATTCAACAGAGGTGTTCCAGATTTGTACGCAAGCGATGCGTCTGCACTGTACGTTGCTCCATGATTGTTCTAACCGGGTGGGAAACGATGGAAATTACTGTTGAAATTAGTGACGTAACTCAATTACCTCGGTTGTATTCCATCATATATCGTTTAGTAGAGCTTCTTTAGTACAATCTCGAAGACCTTTTAAAAATTGCATATATTCTGAGAAAATATAAAATATGGTGCGATTAGGCCTACATTTTTATCTTAAGCAAAAGTATCATTGATGAATACGACTGTTTATTAATAAAATCCAAAGGTTATTCGTCTAAAATAAAAAAAAAAGTACATTTTTCGCAAACAAATCAAACCCACATTAAAGGGGCTTTATTACAAAACAGCGTGGTATCACACCACATTCGATAATGCAATTTGGTTATTCAACTTCTTTTTGGTAAAGTTACAATTGCTTTAAGAATGAATAAATTTGGAAAAATTTGTGTTTGTTCTCCCGACTTCCTATCTTTATCTCATTTTGTAACGTATATTTGAATTTCACAAATTTTAAAGATTATGAATACACCACAACAAACAAAAGTAGAGCGGTTATACTGAAGAGGTATGGTTTTCTGCTTGTGGTTGTTAAAACACGGCCAGTATTGATTTTTTAATTGGGACTCTGATCGCTCGCCTCGAATAACCCTCACACGAGAGTTGCTGCTTTTGTTGATACTTTTGCCATTAATTCATCACATCTTCAAAACTTTTCGATACATTATAATAAGGTAAATATACCAGACATTTTTACCGCGTCAATTCAAAATTATCAAAGGTGCAAGTAAAAAATAAACCAGATTAAAGAGCTTTAGAAAATAAGAAAGTTTGAGATTCTTCTTAAATAGAACTAACTTTGCGGACTGTTTAACAGAAATGTGTACCGGTAACATGGTTTCAGAGAAGGGAGGCCTGAACAGAAAATGAGCGTACTACTAAAATGTAATAGATACGTACCTGTTCCTCCTGTTCCTGTTTTTCCTAGATTAGAAAAAGCTTTATTTTTGTCTTTGTTCGATTGTATAACGATATACCTGCAAATAAACAAGAAAACAATACATTGAATCATTAAATTACATATGATGGCACTGTCGAAATACATTTAAAGTCAACTGATGGTAACGTTATCGTAATTACCCAGGAATTAAAAGAAAAACAATCTCATTCTTTATCGAAAAACTACTAAGTTAGGCCAAATATTTATTCGTTTCTGCAAAGTTAGTTGTTTTACCTTGTCACGATTTGTAAATGGTAGCTTCGTAAGTGTTGTAGTGCCCTCACAGCACCATTAAATGCGTTGGAAAGTGCTTCGGAATTTTGTCTTAAAACTATATAGAGAAAAAATATTAGTATTAGTAAATGTTGGGGAATGACTTGTGATAGTCAATTCAGTAGTAGTGTTATTAGCTAGTAGTTGTTAACGTAGCAGCATTCTGCAGAACAGCAAAAGCAACAGTAGCAACAGCAAAAATAGCAGCAGCAATCACAACAGCAGCAGCAACAACGACGAAATGAGCCACAAGAAAATAAAAAC